CTTACCTTTGACTCTTCTTCCTTCTTACCAATCAGCAACCAAGTCTTGTCAACTATACTTTCCTTTTTCTCTATTCCCACTGACAGTACCCTTGTACAAGCCCCTTTGCCCATATACCTGTACTATTGCCATAACCCCTAACAGCTCTTCCTACCACCTGTCCTTCTAAGCCAATATACACATATTCTGCAAAAGTAATCTTTCTTAACACACAGATCTAGTTCATATGCTCAAAAATCTTCAATGACTCCATTTAATCTACTGAGTAAGAATTTAAACATCTTAGTATGTCACTCAAGGCCCTCCATAATCTATCACCATATATATACATGTGTGTATATATATATATATATATATATACATGTGTGTGTATATATATATATACATGTGTGTATATATATACACATGTGTGTATATATATATATATATTACATATATATCTATATCTATATATATCACAGTCTCTTAATTTACTTCTCTACTCATTCAATGCTCTTGTCTAACTGGACTACTTTGTTCCCCAAACCTATCTCACACTCTCTTGCCTCAGTGTCTTTGTTCACACTGTGCCCTATGTCTGAAATTCCATCCTTATATTTCATCATCTGTTGACATCCTAAACACTTTTTACTGCCCAACTCAAATACCACTTCCTCCAGAATGCTTTTCCTGATGCCATCTCACAGCACTTTGCTTGTACCACTTTAATAATATAATGTAATATTTTGCATTTTACTTATCTATGTTTGAATCCCTGGGGCAGCTAGGTATGGCAGTGGATAGAGAACTGGGCTTGGAATCAGGAAGACTCATTTTCTGGCCTCAGATACTTATTAGCTGCGTGACCTTGGGAAAGTCACTTAACCCAGTTTGCCTCAGTTTCCTCATCTGTAAAATGAACTGGAGAAGGAAATGGCAAACCACTCTAGTATTTTTTCCAATAAAACTCCAAATGGGGTCACAAAGAGTTGGACATGACTGAAAATGACTGAACAACAATATACAAGTCCCTACTAATTATCTCACATGCCTGGATATGGTCCTGGGAGTAAGAGCCCTAGAGAGACCATGGACCCAGACTCCAAACAGATGGAATGCTTATTCCACTAGAAAGAATTTCCAGAAAGATGAAGTCCCTGAGCCTGAGTAACCTGTGTCATCCATTGTGTAAGTACACAAGTAAACTTAGGAGCTCCCAGTTGGCAGCTCATTTATAAAAAGCCTCATTTTGGAATTCCTTGATGTTATGACTTCATTGTTGTTGTTGCTGCTGCTGCTGCTACTGCAAAACTCAATTATCAGCATTAAATCTGCTGTATTTCATCCAGGTAAAGGCAGATTCCATTCACAAACCTTATTCCTGAGGGCAGGCACCATGCAGTGGAAAGAGGCGCAGGACAGCAGTCAGGAGAAGTAGCTCTGAGTCCTGGCTATGTCCACTAACTTACTGTGACCTCGACTAAGTCATGTTTCCTTTTTGGACTTTAGTTTTGGATTTAAGATTAGGAGATTGGGCTAGATCAGAGATGTAGAGCTGCAAAGGTCTTCTCGGGTCAGCTAATCCAAACTGCCTTCTTTCTCCCTCCCCTCCCCCAGACCAATCTTACAGACAGGGAAACTGAGATTTAGAATGGTTAAGCAATTTACCCTAAATCACAAAGGCAATAAATAAGCAGCAGAGTCAGCATTCGAACTGAGGTTATCTGGCTCCAAATTCAGTGCCCTATCTACTTCAACACCACACTTATCCAAGATTCTTCAGGCCCACCTAAATCATCGATCATCAGCCAGACAGTATGATATAATGGTGAAAGAAGTGAATTTTAAGATCTGGGTTCAAGTTCTGACTCTAGTACTTTATTTGTTTGGTGTCTGAAAGTGAATTGACTAATCTTTCAGAGCCTCAGTTTCTTCCTCTATATAATGGTGATGATAATAATTGCATCTCACAGGACTGTTTTGAGGAAAGTACTTTGCAAACCTTTTAAGTCTTATATCTTAAGACTTATGATTAAGTCACTCCCCCTTTGGGGACTTCAGCTGAATGCAATTCCAGAAAGATCTAAGATCCTTGTAAAAGTCTAGGTATCTGTTATCTGAATTGCAAGTCAGTTGGGCCTAAACAAAAATCTGAAATAGGGGCAGCTAGGTATCGAAGCAGATACAGCCTATAATAGGGCCTTGGAGTCAGGAGGACCTGAGTTCAAATCTGGCCTCAGATATTTGACATTTACCAGCTGTGTGATCCTGGGCAAGTCACTTAACCCCATTGCTTCACCCCCCCCCAAAAAAAATCTATAATAAAAAGAATTATAAAACTCTTGCCTGGGTCATCAAGGGAAACTAAAGAACCTTCTTTCCAGGGGCAAGGCTTCGAGGTGGCTATAGAGATTATTAGGAAATGCCTCAGTCCCTTTCAGTGCTGGGAGGCTGGTTTATTCACTTCAATCTGAGCCAAATGCCAAGAAAGGCCTGTATGCAGCTGTTGCTCCTAGAACACATTACCCTTCCTCCCCCTCTCCACTCCAGTCTATCCAGACTATGGCTGGTCTCCAAATGCAATTTCAGGCAGATATTGATTTTTTCCAATCATCCACATCCTCAGTGATATCCTTCTTGCAACTCAGGACCATCACTGGAAATAGGCTGCAGTCTGTACCCACCACAAATTAACTGCAACTTGGATTCTTTGGAAGTTTTGATATTCTTAGATTCACAAGGACAAAGGAGAACATTTATACTGGAAAAAAAATGGGTTTCAGTACTAGGGAACAGCTGGGAATCGTTGAAAGCACCACTCAGTTTACCAAGTGCAACCCAGCCTTCTCTTCCTTCTGTTTAATTCTGGGCCCAACTCATCATCAAACACCAGTGCTGGTCCCAGGAGGTGGGCTGAACGTGTAGTGACAGTAAGAAATAGCTGATGGATCACCAGATACCAGTGCCACACTGGTGCCCACAAAATGTAAAATTACCTAGAAGAAGGCCTAGAAACACAGTGGGTAGATCTTCTGTGAGACAATATGGACAAAAACAGCAAAGTACAGGAAGGCATGGATGAATTAGAACATGCGTGGAAGGAAAGAGACCCTTGTGCATCATGCATGAAATCACAGATCCATGGAAGTACTAAAATTTTGATTTTATTGTAAAATGACCATCATGGTTTTAAGAAGTTAGCTATTTTATTTCCTTGCCATTAGCAGACCTATTCCTATACCAGCAAGAGCCTGGTTCATACTCTTCTGAAGTCCCACCAGAAGTTGGGGGTGGTGGTAAAAAAGTTCCCATTTTGGGGGGGCAGCAAACGCCAAAGATGGTATTTCCCTGCCATGGCACCTGGGACAGCACCATCTAACCAAGTGTCTGAGGCCACTTCAGACACTATCTGGTACCAGAAGACAAATTCAAATTTGCAAGAGCTCCCTTTTTAAACTTAAGGGGGAAATAAATGATTCATCAGTGAATCTGGCTTACTCTCACATGTCTCCTTGGTCAGTGTAAGAAGCAAAGAGGGAACAGTGACATAGGACCATAGAAATGTCAGGAGCTGGAAAGGGCTATAGAGATCACTTGTCCAATTCCTTCATTTTACAGATGAGGAAACTGAGGCTTAAAGAGGTTCAACTTGCTCAGAGTCACACAGAATGTAAACAGCAGAGCCCAAGATTCCAACCTGGGTCCTTTGCTTCCAAATCCAATTCTTTTGCCACTATGATACTCTGCATAGCAAATCAGGGATGAAGTAAAAAACAAAAAAACCCCAGTGTTCTGACTCCATGATCCAGTGAAGCTCCTGCCTTGGAAGAGACCTTTTCAAGCATCTATCTTCTCCCTAAGGCTATGTAGCCGTTAGAGGAACGGAAGTTAGACAGGGAGATGTTCTAAAATGTCAGGCTTTCAAAACTGGACACGCCCAAAGATCCCAAGGACAGGATTGGTCTGCCATCCCGGGCCTCGTGCAAACATTGTCTCTGAATCTAGGCACCCCGGTCAGGTCCTTTTCTTTCAACCTGTCCTGTTCTATCCAGCTCCTGGCCACCACCATGGGACAGGTCGTGACCGTCCTCTTAGGTGTAGTTCCTTGCCCCCCCCTCCACTTTCCCGCCTCCCTCTAATAAACATATAAAGGGCTAAGAGCCCAGCTTTAATAAACACAGGAGAAATATACACTGTTGTCATGCCAACCCCATCCTGAAAAGGAAAGCCACTAGAGAACCTTTTCTGCCAACATTTGTAGAAGGGACAGACAGTTCTGGGATCACTCAGCTCAGCTGATGTGACTCTCACCCCTCACACACCCCCTTCCCCCACCTGCCAGAAGTTACTCAACTGGAGTCAAATGATGAACTTGAGCCTTCTCCAAAGGTCTCAGCATCAGTCAAAGGCCACACACAAGGCTGAGAGGTCCCTCCCTCCTCAGCACTTTCTCTGTCTTCCTTGCCTTTGCACTCTGCAGAAGCAGGCATCCCTCACCCTCAGAACTGGGGTATCCCCAATAGGGCAAAATCCACAAGAAGGTATCCCTTTTGCCATGATATCTGGAACAGTGTCATCCACTCCAGAGCTGAGCAAAGCTGCAGATGCCAGCTAGAACTTGAAGAGAAATTCAAATTCTGAAACGCTCCCTTTCTGAACTTAAGGGGGAGATATGTAATTCATTTTGGAGGCTAAATATAGAGGGTCCCACAAGAGCCCAGGGCTCAAGAGGCCAGGTCACCTTCCAATAACTCCCATACTGAGGTATCCAACATTCCAAGCTGAAACCCCCCATTAGTCCCCAATATCCCCATATTAGAGGTTTCCAGTGAGGTCCCGATACTCCGTATTGGGGATCCTAATACCTCCACGTTGGGACACCCCACCTCCAGCGGGACCCAGAACATCCCCACACTGGGGTCACCAATATTCCACAGTGGACACCCAGTAAGACTTTAACTTAACCCCCACATTAAGCATTCCCAGTCAGGCCTTATGACCTCTCCTGCACCCCCCACTACCTTGAGGTAGTCGTTCTCCGAGCGCAGCTCCTCCAGCTCCCGAACGAGGCCGTCCGGCCCGCAGTCAAGCAGCTCCTCGGTGAGATCTGAGAAGGCCAGCGACGTGCTGAGGGGCAGGCGGCTGCTGCCCAGCGACGCTGCGGACTGCTCATCCGGCACAGGCGAGGTGCCAGGGGAGGCGAGCCGGGACGGCTGAGGGCTGCGTGGCGCCGGCTGCCCCTGGACGCGGACACCGGACCCAGCTCCGGCCCCGGTCCCAGCCGGTCGCTCCCGCCCGCTGCCGCTGCCGCTGCCGCTGCCGCTACCGCTGCCGCCGCCGGACTCGGTATCGCTGCTCAGAGCCAGCTCCAAGGACAGCAGCTTGTTCTCCTCGGATGTGCAGTCCGACACCTCGGAGCTGCTGTCCGTGAGGCTCAGGGCCGTCGGCGGCGGTGGCTGGGGCAGCAGCGGCTGCTGCGAGGCCCGCCCCGGGGGCTCGTCTCGGGGACGCCCCTTTGCTTTGGCCCCGGCTCGGCCTGGCGCGCCCTTTCCCGAGCCCCTAGCCCCGGTCTGCGGGCTGCTGCGGCCTTTCTTCTCGGGCCGGGGCTGGCCGGGCCCCGCCTTCCCGGACAGAGAGGCAGGAGAGCCTGGGTTGCTGCCGCTGCTCCGCCGGCTCTTGGCTAGCGACCAGCCGGGGACGTCCTTGGGTCTAGCAGGGGACGGGGCACGGTTGATCTTCTTCTTCTCCGGGGGTGCAGCGGAAGGTGGCGGCAGGGGGGGTGGTGGGGGCGGCGGCGGCGGCGGGGGCGGCGAGCCCCTACCGGGCTCCGGCTCCGCTGCCTCCATCCTCCTTCGCCTCCTGCTCACCGAGCCGGGGCGCGGCGGCAGCTACTCTCTTTCATCCCCGTCCACCCCCCCCCACCTCACCGGGGCAGCCCCCGAGGACTGGAGCCGTTAGGCTACCTCCCGACCCGGAGGAGGGCTGGGACTCCCGCTGCGCTGAGATCGGGGCTGCCGAGGCGCTCAGAGATCCCAGGTCTAGCTGCGCTCGGAGACTGAGGCTCGCGCTGCGCCCTAGGGCGGCTCCAGCACCAGCGCTCAGGCTGCGGCTCTAGGCGGGTCTCCTGGACACGCCGTGTGGGACCTCTTCATCCTCCCCCCTTCTCCTCCTATTCCTATTCCTATTCCTCTCTCTCCTTCCCTTCTCCGCCCCTCCGCTCCTCCCCTGCGGTCGCGCAGCCCCGTCAAGTCTCTCCGCCCCGCCAGCTCGGTGACGCGCACGGTCCGCGAACAATAGGCGGAGGGGGGCGGGCGCGGGTCCGGGGGACTGGGATGAATGTTCGAGGCAACAGCGACCCCTTCTCTGTCCAGGCTGCGATCGACAATTCGCTTCTTGGAGTGGCATGGCATGGCCTGGGCCGGCCTGCTCTGACCCTGCCTTCTATGCCCATCTGGCACTGAGAGTCCCTGCCTCTGGAGCTTTGGGGAGCTCCTGCGGGATGCGGAGCAAGATATGAGGGAAGAATGGGGTCCTAGATATGTGTCTTGCACCGCATAGCTGTGCTATAATCCTGCCGACACACGGCATGGTCACTCCCCACTCTCTGCTCCTTCACTCTCCACTACCATTCTCTCCCCCTACCCCCATTCCAGTCCCCAACTGCCAGGACTCAGTCTTGGGTCGGCCTTGGTCTGGTACATGGTCTGTGGTTCCCTTAATAGAGATGCCCTTTGGATTGCACTTGGTAGCGCTGCTCAGAGCCAGCTATGGCCATAGGATCACAGAGGACACAAGATGAAAAGATTTGGAGAAGCATGGTTTTTTGTTTTTTTTTTTAAACCTCTAAGGGATATTAACGGTTTTATAGACCAACGCCCTCATTTTATGGGTGAAGAAATTCAGGCACTTGCTCAAGGTGACATAGGCAGTAAAGGCTAGAGCCTGGAATGGAACCATCCTTCTGTGGCATCACACAGAGGTCTCTCAGATGCATTGACATATCCTCTCTTCCCTCCTGCAAGAAGTTGGGAAAGGGAGGAAACTGAACATATGGATAAGTTAACATAAAATCATAGTGTAACAGGACGGTAAAAGGTCCTTAAAAATCATTATCTTGTCTAACCTCCTCATTTTACACATATGGAAACTGAATGGGATTCAAAGGTTGAGTGACTTACGGGGCCACACAGAGAGTTATTGATAGTACCAGAGGTAGAACCCATATCTCGTGACTCCTAGTCCTGGGCAACTTCCTCTTTCTCATTCTGCTCCCCTTCAGCTGGTCTCCATAACTTTGAAGAAAATGATAAAGAATGCCCACTCAGCTCCTGTCAAAATGTTCTTAGAGAAAAGCTTATAGATTCATTTTTTCTGCTTACCTGGTTTCCTTTCCTTCCTTGCATAAACCTATGCAAAAAAAAAAAAAATGGGATGTAGTGACTTGCTCAGGGTCACACAGCTAGTAAGTGCTAGTGCGTCAAGTGTCTGAGGCCATATTTGAACTCAAATCTTCCTGAATCCAGGGCTGGCTCTATCCACTGCACCATCTAGCTGCCCCCAATGGGGGGCAAATCTCTCCCTCACTTCCTCCATAAAGGCTTCTTTAGTTACACTAATCTTTACTTCTTAGTTTTACCTCCACACTCTAGTTTGATTATGTTTTCTATTATTCTCTAAAAAATTTCTTCTTTGTGTCTTGTCCCCCAATAATTATGTATATATATATATATATATATATATATATATATATATATATAAAATCTCCTCCATGAATGAGACATGCTTCCACTTATCTCCCTAAAAGCACAGTGCACTGACTACAACCCCAGGAGGTGTGTATTAATACTTTCTGGCTTCCAGCTAGTTTTTCCTTTCTTCTATTCTCATTCTCTGAAATCTCTTCCTGGCCTTTGTTCCTTCCTGCGAACATGGGAGTTTGATGAAAGGGGGGAAAACCCAAGGCTGGGAGTGAGAAGACCTGTGTTTTATTACTAACTCTATCATTGATTCAAAATGGTACCTTGGGGAAGATATTTCTCTTCCTTGAACCTCATTTTCTCCCTCTGTGAGAATGGGCTAGCTATGTGATCTTGGGCAGATTACTTAACCTCTCTTTGCCTCAGTTTCCTCAACTCTAAAATGAAGATAATAATAGCACCCACCTCTCAAGAGTTGTTGTGAGGATCAAATGAGTTAATATATGTGAAGTGCTTTGCAAACTTTAAAGTGCTATATAAATCATGTTATTATTATTAATCCATCAAACTCTTAATTAATCAACAAGCATCTATTAATCACCAGTTTTGTGCTAGGCATTGTGTTAAGCACTGTCCATACAAAATCAAAAATGAAATAATCCCTTCTCTCAAAGAGCTTATATTTTATCAGGAGAAACAAGTATGTATACATATAAGCATGCACAGAACAGATATATAATAAATACAAGGGCATTGGAGGGGAGGTGCCATCCACTGGGAAGGTCCCAAGTAGGAGGCTAAAGACAGAAAGAAAGGTTGCCCATATTGAAAAATATTCATAACAGCATTTCTTTTATAGTAGCAAAAAACTGGGGAAAAATTGGATGTCTGTTGATTAGGGAATATATATGGCTGAACAAATTGTTCTATGTAAATTGCATAAGAACCAAATTTAAAGAATTCAAAGAAACATGGGAATATTTGTTTAAATTCAATGTGGAGCTCAGTTAGCAAAACCAGGAGAAAATACTACAATAATGTAATAGGTAAGAAAACTGAAATAGAGCAAAATAAAGGTTGAGTACTGTAATTGTAATGACCAGCCAGTTCTGGAGATGAGGATTTGTATCTCCCCCCTCCTTTTGGTATGGGTATGGGGACCCTGGCATTCATTGTAGAGGTAGTCACTATGTTAGTTTTGCCTCAGTGTTTTTCTTCATTTCCTGGCCATCTTCCAGCCTTGCTGGGGTCTCCTCTCCATTATCAGTTCAAACCTGGTCCTCTAGCTCTGGGTCCATGTTCTCCTAAGTGGTGAGAGTTCACTATACCTAGCCAGTCCCATACTAAACACTCTGTACGATACTCCAGTCATCTTCCTGACATCTAACTCAGGAATGTCCCATTCTTTCTACCTCTTCCTCTGGGAACAATAATTAACACTAATATTTCTGGAAAGGGTATGTCAATCACATGTTCAATGACTCCTTCCTTGTGACATTCTAGACCAAAAAACACTCCATCCATGACCACTGTTGTCTTCTCCTCGATTAGATATAAGCTCCTGGAGAGTAGCAACTATCTTGCTTTGTGGGTTTGCATTCCCGGCACTTAGCACAGAACCTGCACCATATAGTATAAGCACTTAATAAATGCTTTTTTCATTCATTCATTCATTCATTCATCCATTCACTAGAGGGCTCATGGTGGGAGGTAAGGAAGAGGGAAGTATAATATCTAGAAGTGACTTAGATTTTTTTTAAAGGCAATATTAAACTTTTAAAAATTCAATGATGGGGTTAGGGTTGGTTGTTTCTATTACTATCCTGTTTGGCTCCCATCCTTTGGGGAAAGAAGGGTGTGCAGCAGTCGTAGAAGTCCTAGCTTCCTTTTAGGGAGGGCTATGAAATCAGCGCAGTTAACTGGTACATCAGGGGAGATGATGCCCCCAGAAAGTTGAGATTGTAGTAGGCAGGAACACAGATAGCTCGCCTCCCAGTGTTTAGTCAGCTCCTGTATTCCTGTCAAGTTCTGCTTTCCCCAGGAGTACCACACACCCTCCTCCTCACTATTTCACTTCTTTCCCCAGCACATGTGCATTCCAAGCTCTGAGGGATGTCAGAACTCAAATGAACTGAACAAACATTTATGTTATGCCTACCATGTACAGAGTCCTGTGCTGGATGTTGGCAGATGCAAAAATCAATCAATCAATGAACAAGCATTTATTAAGGTTTATTACATGCATAGAACACTGCTCCATGCTGAGGATGCAAAGAAGAAGCAAAAACAGTCTCTGATCACTAGGAGCTTATATTCCAATGGGGGACATGACACGTACGTATATATTTAAGATAGGTACAGAATAGATGAAAGGTAACCTTAGAGGGACAAGTACTGGCAGTCATGAAGGGG